CAAATGACAATTTCCCCGCATATCAGCTTCATAATTTTAACAATTAATAATTTTAATTTCTCTTTGCCTCAGTTTCTTCATCTGTAAAACTGAACAATGATAGCACCCACTTCACAGGTAAAATGTTTAGAACAATGTCTGGTATACTGTAAGACTAAAGGAATGCTAAGTAATATTATCATTATTTTGTTCTTACTAATTTTAGACTAAATATTAAATGAGAAGAAAAGTAAAACTGTAATGTATGCTCAAGTTCCAGTTTAACATTGCTACTTGGCATTTGGTTCACAGTTCACTAACAATGATATTTCAGTAGATATCTCCATTTCTATCCTCCAGTAACTCACAGTCAAATCAAATCACCAAGTATTAAGTTCATACCACATGAAATGAGAAGTACAGAGTCATAATTCACATTAAAAACAGACACATAGATGAGTGGACCAGAATAAAATATGCACAGATATGAAGTCAATTAATTTATGACAAAGGAGTCAAGAATATACAAAGGGGAAAGGGCAATCTCTAATAATTGATGATGGGAAAACAGGACAGGCACATGCAACAGAATGAAAATGGACACTATTTTACACTTTAAAAAATTACTCAAAATAAAGACCTGAAACCACAAAACTCCTAGAAGAAAAGATACATGGTTAACTCCTTGACACAGGTCTTCGAGTCTTTAATTTTTTAAACTGACAACAAAAGCAAAAGCAACAGAAGAAGAAGAAGAAGAAGAAGAAGAAGAAGAAGAAGAAGAAGAAGAAGAAGAAGAAGAAGAAGAAGAAGGAGGAGAAGAAGAAAGGCTATGCAAACTAAAAAGCTTCTACACAGCAAAGAAAACCATCAACAAAATGAAAAAGCAACTTACTGAATGGCAGAAACTATTTGCAAAGCATGTAAGGGGTTACTATTCAAAACATATAAATAACTCATAGAAATCAAAAGCAAAAAAAAAAAAAGATTAAAAATGGGCAAATCTCAAGACATTTTTTTCCAAAGAAGATATACAGATTGTCACCAGGTACATGAAAAGATGCTCAGCACCACTAATCATCAGGGAAATGCAAATCAAAACCACAATGACATGTCACCTCACATCTGTTAGAATGACTAGACTAGAAATATTAAGTGCTGTGGAGAAAAGGGAACCACTGTGCACTGTGAGTGAGAACATAAACCAGTGCAGCCACTATGGAGAATAGTATGGAGGTCCCTCATAAAATTAAAAATACAACTACCATATGATCCAGCAATTTCACTTGTGCATATTTATCCAAAGAACAGGAAAACCATGCCATGTTCATTGCAGCATTATTTACAAAAGCGAGGATACTGAAAAAACCTAAGTGGCCAATGATGGATGAATGGTTAAAAAATTGTGATTATATATAAATATATACATTCCATTGATGGATGAATAGAAAACTATGTATCACAATTTGTTTAAATGTACAATGTAATATTATTTAGCCACAAAAAGAATGAAATCTTGCCATTTGCAACAACATGGATGGACCTCAAGGGAATTATGCTAAGTGAAATAAGACAGGGAAAGCAAATACCATCTTATATGTGGAATCTAAAAATAAATATATACTTTATTAAAAACAAGCTCATAGTACACTGGTGGCAACCAGTGGCAGGGGTTAGGAGCCAGAAAAAATGGGTGAACTATGTGTGATTTTTTTTTAGTTTAAATAAATTTTAAAATAAAGGAAAAAATTTTAAACATAATTCCTATACATCGAAAGTATAGCATATGGTATATACATACAATGAAATATTAATGATCCATAAAAAGAAATTCTGATATATACTACAACATGGACAAACCTTGAATACATGCTAACTGAAATAAACCAGACACAAAAGGACAGTTCATGATTTCACCTACATGTGGTACTTGGAATAGGGAAATGCAGAAATGAAAGTAGAATAGGGATTAACAGGAGCTAGAGCAGGGAGGAGGTGTGGGGAGAAGGTTAGGGGCAAACGAATTTATTGTTTAATGGGTATGGAGTTTTTACTTGGGATAATTAAAAATTTTGGAAATGAAAAATAGTGATAATTAAACAACATTGCAAATGTGCTTAGTGCCAATGAACTGTACATTTAAAAATGGTTAAAATAGTAAATTACCACAACAAAACATCTTTAAGAAATATAGCCTATAATTTCAACAGTAAGTTTTAACCTTAATGGTATTAAAATAAAGGATAGATTACTTATTCTCAAGTTCCTCACTATGCACACCAAAGGAGTCAGGATCAACTCTTAGCTGGCCTTGGATTAAAATGTACTCCTGAAATGAATATATATCTTAAAATTTCATAAGGAATATTATTTCACTTTGTTGATAAAGTCCATTTTTCTTAGATCCTTGAAGGGAGAGTAGAAAGGAAAGAGAAATATGCTGAAGAGATACCTTTATGAATGGCATGTGTATAATGGTGGATTTATAAGGAGGTACTTGTCTGTGGAGAATCATGATAACATGAGTGCAAAACTACACCTGTGCAGGGAATCATAAATGAATGTGGAAACAACTGACATTCCATTCAAAAGTAGAGAGGGTTTCCATCTATTGGTAAACCATAATTTAAACCACTGTAATATGCCCTAATTTCAAAACAGAAGATAAAAGTCTATTATTTTGATACACATAATAAAGTGAAATATTTAAAATATCTACCCCAAATATTCCAAGAAAAAGGTTTATTGCAGTACTAAAATGATAAAACAACTTAATAAATTAACATTTTCCTAAAATGGCTTAAGATAAGCAATTCCAGTTAAAATAATGTAATTCTCTGGTACACTGGTAATTATCATACATCAAATATAATTCAAGAAATAACAGTTTTCAAAGAAGTAGAATGCAATTTTCAAAGAATCTATGGTCAAAACCAAACTATGAATAAAAAACTATGTATCACAATTTGTTTAAATGTACAATATAATATTATTCAGCCACACAAAGAATGAAATCTTGCCATTTGCAACAACACAGATGGACCTCAAGGGAATTATGCTAAGTGAAATAAGACAGGGAAAGCAAATATTATCTATATGTGGAATCTAAAAATAAATACATACTTTTTTAAAAAACAAGCTCATAGTACACTCACCAGAGTGAGGCAAAAGTAGGTTTAAAGTTGTTCATATGGAAAATGGTACAATAGTTAATAAATAATAATACAAGAATAAATTGTTTCATGTACTTACAACCGTAAACCTTTCACCCCACCCTGTATTAGCAAACACATATGTAGCTCTTAAAAGAAGACTGGTTTGTTCTAAGCTCTTTACATATACTAACTCATTTTATCCTCACAATCTTCTGACAAAAGTATTATTTCTCTTCCACAAGGAAATTGAGTTGTAGAGGGGTCAACTACCTTGCCCCAGCCCACACTGTCTTGCCACACTCGGTTGAGCAAGGAATTGAATCCTGGAGGTGTGGGTTCCCCATCCCTTGTTTTAATTGCAGTGGTTCACTATCTCGTGGTGATATTAAGGAATGGATATTAAGTACAGGCAAAGGGGGTCAAATATAATAAAATCTTTTAGGAAATCATCATACTACAACAGAGTGCAATAAATGTTTCATAATAACTGCTCTGAGACATAAGAAAAATTAAAATATGTTTAGCATACTTAAGGTTTTAGGAAGAAATTGTTTAGTAAACTTAAAATTTCTTGATCCAAAACAGTCAAAATACTTTTTTAAAAAGTACTTTTAAAAAAGGCTTTGAAGTCATACACAAACATAAACTTAAAGCCTGGGCCCACCACTTAGTTATTATGAATATTAGGAATAATTTCACACAACTGAGCCTCAGTTTCCTTCTGTGCAAATTGATGACAGCTCACAATGTTGTTTGAGCTAAGGAGAAAACACATGCAAAGTGTTGAACACAATCCCTGGGTTACAGCAGATTGGCAACAATGACTACTATTATTCTGTAAACATTCTTCTTTGTCCACTAAATATGAGAAACAAACTTACCAATTAGCAAATCATTTGGGAGGCCTTGCAGAATTCTATAAAGCAGATATGCCCTATTCAAAAATGGAGTGTACTAAAGTTCAAGAAAATACAAAATCAAACCATCAATGAGATAAAAGAGTTCAGAATCGTTTTGGCAGGTTTTGTAATAACCTGTATTCCTTTACAAACAATATGGATCCTATTGGTTTTTGTTTGTTTTTGCGGTCTAAATATTTCTACTAGGATTCGGTTTCTTACTTATTTTGATAGTACCTTTGCAAGCATAATTGTCTTCAGTGCTGGAAAACCAAAAAGAAATCCAGAAACACGGAGCATTTTTAAAAAATGAGTGCTATACCTATTCCTTCTATCTCAACAGGTGATTGGACCCATGTTGATCACTTATCCCAACAGATTTTCGCATCGCTGCCCCACCCCCTTTACTCAACAAATACATGCATTACTGAGCAAAACTCCAGAATGACAGAGAACGAATGCTCTTCAGGCACACGAAAACTCAAAACTTGGTGCTCTTGGTCAGGATCCTTGGAGGAAGGGGCGGGGTAGTGGTGGGTGAGTTTCTCTGCAAGTGGAAAAAAACAGAACTGGGAACTGTTTTGTCTCTTTACACAAGACTAGAGATGAACCTGCGGGGCTCGGAGCAGAGAGGTTGGGTAAGATGGGCCTGGAGGCGAGAGGAAGGAGGTGGCAACTGGAGGCTGAGGGAGGGTCTGTGCCACTGGGGAGAGACTCCGAGCCGAGCCGATCACCACCCTGACAGCCGAAGCGGAGAGACGTGGCCGCTCAGCCCAGTCCCCAGGACCAGTTCAGTTTCTAGGAGTCTGGGACGAATGAGAGAGAATGGGGACCCCCGAGACCGAAGAAAGATGAGAGTAGGGGCCGAGCTCCCGTTCGCCTTCAGAACGGGAGGTTACTGTCCCCACAGCCAACCCAGAGTGGGAGACGAGGAAAGCAGAGATCCATTAAGGACCGCACGGGTTACCTGTCTCAGCTGCCCGCCCCACGGTCTCCACTTCCGCAGACTCTGGGTAACCAAGGACTACCGGGGCACGCGCCTAGTGACGTCATCCACGTGCGCCGGACCGCGGCAGGCCAGTCCCGCCCCTGAGGAAGAGGTGAACGGAGCCGCCCTGGTTTTGAGGCAGGTGGGGGGCGGGGGGGGGGGGGGTGCCGAATTTGTGTAGAGGCAGACAGGGGCGACTTGAACAACTTGGGTGGATTGAGTTCTTCCAGGGTTGCCTTGTTACTTAAGGAGATACTCCTAATTGCAAAATATTGTTGGCACTCGAGAAAAAAAGTTACTGAAATACAAATGTGCACTTTTTATTCCTTTCTTTTTTTCTGCGCCTCTGCTGTGTATGACTGTTGTTTACGTATTCATTCCACTACAGTTTATTCAAGTCCTCGGTGTCCCAGGCAAGACCTGGTACCGAGTATGACATACACCAGTGAGCAAAACACTGTGCCTAGCCGCCAGGAGATTACTTTCTAGTTGAGAAAGGAAACACTGAGTGTCTCAAGAAATACATATACTTTGTAGAGATCATAGTGTGTGGAAGAAAAATAAGTTGCTGGAAAACTAAAGGAGGAAGGGTGCCCCTTTACTTTGAGATGGCAAGGAAGTGCCCTCTGAAGAGGGTCCTTGAGGAGAGAAGAAGGCAGCTCTGTAAAGATCTGGAGGAACAGGAACTAATAGAACGATCCATATGTTCAAAAGTTACGGGGATAGGACAGAATGTGGTGCCCTTGAGACAGTGACAAAGTAGGCTAGGGGAAGAATAGAAGATGAGATCAACAAGCCAAGGAGAGTTCTCATCTTTCAAGAGACTTTCTAGGTCATTGTAAGGAGAATGATTTTCTTTTAAGTGTAATGGTAAGCCAGTGAAGAGTTTTAAACGTGTGAGTGACAAAATCTGGTTTTACAAGATCAGCCTGGCTGCTGTGCATGTAAAGAAGAATGGGGAGATGAAAAAGGATGCAAAGAAAATCATTGCTTTTGCAATGATCAGGTAAGAAATGATGGAGAGAAATGGACAAATATTGCTATAAGAAAAAATCTGGAGGTGGATATAACAGATTTGGAGGTGGATTAGATAAGAGCAATAAGGGAAAGAAAGATGTGAAAAATGACTCCTAAATATTGGGCTTGAGCGCATAGCTGAATAATATAGCTAAAACAATTCATAATACTTCACAGGATTTGTTTCTCCTCCATTCAACCCTGATCCCTTTGCTTCTCTGTTACCAAGCCTTCTTGTTTCTCTTCTTTAATTTTCTGACCACCACCCTTCAGTTACCATCAAGGGGCTCCTTTTTCTTTTCTTTGTCCTTAGCCTTCTCCCCCTTGATCTTCTTATGATACAGCAGAAGTTTCAAATTCAAAAGGCTTCAGCATCCGAGGAGTGAACACAAAAGGGTGAAACTTGTGGATAGAGACTATGGAGAACTGGAGCTCATGTTCTCCCTACTCAACTCTAGTTGATTTTTGCCAACCAGTAATGATAGCCCAGTGATTTCATATCCTCTCATTTTTAAAGAGAAATCAATATACAGACACATGAACTCTCCAAAAAATAAATGTTGGACACTAATTACAATTTTGTTAAACTTTTGTTATGGACCGAACAAAACACACATGCAGGCCACAACTTTGCCTCCTTGGTGAATATTTTTCCAGAGTGGTGACTGTCTACTCTTGTTTGACTACCACATGTAAGTTGATAACTCCTAAGTCTATCTCTCCACCCAAAGCTTTAAAAAATTTCTTATTTAAATACTCAAATTCAACTTAGATGTCCAGCTGGCATCTCAGACTTACCATTGAAAACTGATTTCATTATCTACCCTCTTCCTCAAACATAACCTATTTAAATAGTTCCTGTCTCATTTAATGACACCAACATCCACCCAATTGCCCCAGACTGAAATTTAGAATGATCCCAGACTCATCCCTATTCCTTGTCCCACTGTCCAGTCATACATGTTCTGACCTTGACCTCTCAAAATTTGTCACTTCTGCCCATTGCCTTCATCCTTACTAATCACTGTCTTTGCTCAAGCATTCAAGATCTCTATTTGGGCAAGTCATTTAACCTTTCCACACCTTAGTCTTCTACTTGTAAAATAAGAGGATTAAATGAGGTGACTCCTAACATCTGTTCCATTGCTAAAATTCTGTTTTATAGAGCCACCAAACATGTCAGAATAGTTGCCTAGAATTGTTTGTGGGGTTATTATTTTTTTTGGCCTCACTATTTTAATGCCAAGGGTATTGTGACCAGATTGACATAGAAAACTGGACTTCATAGAAATAATCAGTACAAAATGAAATTAACAGTGGCTAAAATCAGACACAGTTTTGATACACAGTAAAACCTGACTGAAAAATAACTACTAATTAGTAATATTGAAAACAGAAAAAAGAGAAAATTGGTAAAAATATATTATTTTTTAACAGTTAATGAAAAAAAACTTAATTTTCTTGACAAAATCTGATCTATGATGTAGGTGTAGAAAGATATCGGTCTTGGTTAATTAACCACAAAAGAAAGCTCAATGTCAGAAGCCCTAATAGCTATAATTTGTCATGAAGATAAAAAATAATAAAATATAACATCAGTGTAAGGGTTACATATAAAGATCTGGAACTGATTCTAGTGAAAATAACTTCATCAAAATGGTAAAAATGATAAATGGTTTAACTGTAGTATAAAATCGATCACGGCATTTAACATTATGAGATTTGCTCCAGAAAAAAAAACATTTTTATATAATAAAAGTTTCAAATAAAATATTAATATTTAAGAACTTCCAGCCTAGATGGAAGCGTAACTAAATATATTTTACCTTCATACACAACCAAAAGAAGGACGAAAACAAATTGCAAAGCAAAAAAAACACCCTAGAATTGCCACAAAATTGAACTGAAAGTCCAACAACCAAGGAGTTAAAAAAGAAACATTCATCCAGACTGGTGGGAGGGGTAGAGATGGGAAGCCAGGGCAGAGAAGACATGCAGCAAGGCAACAGATTGAATAGTCTCACATTCGCAGGTAGATAAAATAGGAGGAACAACTGGGGAGTGAGACAAACCTACATAACCCAAGGTTCCAGTATAAGAAACTAAAACCTCAAAACCTCTGGCTGTGAAAACCTGTGGGGTTTACCGTGGCAGGAGTAACTCCCAGCCTCACAGGAGAGTTCATTAGAGAATTCTCTGATGGGATCCTAGAACATACACAAGTCCACCCACCCGGGAATCAGCACCAGAAGGGCCCAATTTGCTTGTGAGTAGTGGGGAAAGTAACTGAAAGCAGGGTGAGAGCCAAGCAAGTGACATTATTCCTTCTCTGACTCCCTCCCTCATATACAGCACAAAACTAGTTGAAGTGGGTTGCCCCACTCTGTTGAACACCCAAAGCTCCACCCCTTGCTATGTAACAGGAATATCAACACAAAGAAATATGGTCCAAATGAAAGAATATATCAAAGTTCCAAAAAAAGAACTAAGTGATGAAGAGATAGCCAACCTATCTGATACACAGTTAAAAACACTGGAAATCAAAATGCTCACTGCAAATCAAGATGCTCCATACTGATTGAGTATGGTCACAAAACAGAGGAAGAAGTGAAGGCTATGAAAAGTGAAATAAAGCAAAATGTACAGGAAACCAACAGTGAAGGGAAGGAAACCAGTATTCAAAGCAGTAGTTTGGAGAAGGATGAAATAAGCATTCAACCAGAACAGAATGAAGAAAAAAAGAGTTCAAAACAATGAGGAGAAGCTTAGGAACCTCCAGGACAGCTTTAAACCTTCCAACATCTGAATCAAAGGGGTGCCAGAAGGAGAAGAAGAACAACAAGTGGAAAAGTTATTTGATAAAATAATGGAGAACTTTCCAAACCTGACAGAGGAAATAGATTTCCAGAAAGTCCAGGAAGCTCAGAGAGTCCCAAAAAAGTTGAACCCAAGGAATCACACACCAAAGCACATAATCATTACATTACTCAAGCTTCAAGATAAAGACAGAATCTGAAAGGCAGCAAGAGAAAAGGAGAGAGTTACCTAAGAGTTCCCATAAGATACTCAGCTGATTTCTCAAAAGAAAACTTGCAGGCAAGAAGAGGCTGGAAAGAAATATTCTAAGCCATGAAAGGCAAGGACCTATATCCAAGATTACTTTATCCAGCAAATCTCTCACTTTTTGAGGAAAGAGTTCATCATCACCAAGCTCTTATGATATGAAATGTTAAAGGGACTTACCAAAGAAAAAGAAGAAGATAAAATATATGAACAGTGTAATGACAACAAACACAACTATCAACAAATGAACCTAAAACAAAAACAAAAACTAAGTAAACAACTAGAACAGGAACAGAATCAGAGCAATGGACATTACATGGAGGGTTATCAGCAGGGAGGGGGAGGGGGACAATGGGGGGAAAGGTACAGGGAATAAGAATCATAAATGGTAGGTACAAAATAGACAAGGGGAGGTTAAGAATAGTATGGAAATGGAGAAGCCAAAGAACTTCTATGTACGACCCATGGACATGAAGTAAGGGAGGGGAATGTGGGTGGGAAGGAGGGTGCAGGTCAGAGGAGAATAAAGGGGAGAAAACTTGGGACAACTTTAATAGCATAATCAATAAAATATTTTTTAAAGAAATATATAATCTGAATAAAAGGAATAAAAAGTAAAAGACCAAGATTTGTGTGTTATTTGGAATAGGAGTGAAGTGAAAGATGAAATACTAAAATGCAATATGACAGGGAGTATAAAATAAACAAATCAAACAATAAAAACAAACACAACAAAAAGCCTAAATAAATGGAAAGAAGACAAATTTTTTTAAAAACCCTGCAGCTTCTGAAGGTAAGCAGAGTGAAATTTGTCTCAGCTCTTGGTGTTCACCTGACTTCTTTCTGGATCCGTTTCAGGTTTTCTCACAGTTCCAGGTCTTATTGTCTTACTCTTGAAAGAAAAAAAAAAAAGCCTTCTGCCTATTTTAAAACTGCCAAGCCAGTGTTGCCAGTCTTCCTGGATC